GAGGGCGCGAAAATGGCGGCGGTATGGAGGAACTTCGCTGAACGGTGAGTACGGAAGCCATTGGAACGCATTAAACTAAGTTTAATGCGTTCCAATGGCTTTTTGCTTTCCGTTTAACGAAGTTTTCACATAGCGAAGGTTAATCTGGAACGGATTAACCTCGCTATGCGAGGCACCACTGTACTGCTATCTGCTTCAACTCATAATGCTATTAAACTGCATTGCCAAAATTCTATTGGTGATTTAGATATAGTACATGTGTAAGATATAGTACGTAACACACCACAGCAAACTGCTGATAACTAATGAGGAACTGCCTGCATTACAAGGTTTGCAGTCAATTACACAACAGGTGCATGCCTAGTAATGCAACTTGTAATGTAATGCAAGAGCCTCGTGGCGCAGTGGTTAAAACGCTGTACTGCAGCTAAAACTGTGCTCACGACCTGGGGTTCAAATCCCAGGTAGCCGGCTCAAGGTTGACTCAGCCTTCCATCCTTCCGAGGGCGGTAAAATGAGTACCCAGCTTGCTGGGGGGCAATGTATAATTAAATTGTAAACCGCCCGCAGAGTGCTTGTAGCGCTATGGGGCAGTATATAAGTCCAATAAATAAATAAATAAATAAATAGTACCTTATTAGTACCAATTTGCTATGGTTACACAAATTAATTTACACATATAAACCATCAACAGGATTCTGGCCACTATACTGTATCATGACCAGCCTGTCAGTCTTGAGACTCCTCCAACTGAAAAAACAATTATGGGGACCTTGCAACACATACAAGAAGATATTCACCTCAAAGGCCCCAGCCTTTAGAAGATTGACTTGGTCATGCTGAGAAAGGTCTCGGAAGCCAGGAACACGCTTGGCAAACTCTACCACTTCCTTCACGGCAGGGGTGAAGCTCATGGAAAATTCTTCCCAGACTTCATGACCAGATTTATTTGGATCCACAAACGGTGTGTTGTTCATTGGACAAACCTAGATGTTTACACAGATACAGTCTCAACATCTGATTCCAAACAAACCAATCAAGCAGTTTCATAGTTTCAAAAATCATTTTGTTAATGCAAAAAATTACAGCATAGTTCTCTGGTTCAACCTATTCGGAAGCTATGGCTCAGAACGTAAGACCTTAATCAGAATTAAGCACGTTTCTTCACTAACAGTATAAGAACTCTTGCAAAAGTGTTCCTTAGAATTGGTTGTTGTGGGGTTTTTGGGCTCTTTGGCCGTGTTCTGAAGGTTGTTCTTCTTCTTGTTTCGCCAGTTTCTGCGCCGGCATCTTCAGAGGACAGCACTCTGTGCTCTGGTGTAGTTGGCTTGGGAGTGCTTAGAATTGTTATATACTTGCATGTCGGCTCCTGTATATATGTTGTAATTTTCAGAAAACCCAATTGGCAGTTGTTTTGGTTTTGGTTCATTAAACTGAGACCAGAATCCTAGTGCTAGTTTATATTTGCATAAGGGAAATCATTCCCAGAACCACAATTAGCACCTTATTAATATACAGTGTACCACCAAGACTTATACAACTTCCCTTATGCAGCTATGAATCAGCAACATGATTCTGGTTTATACTATGTAAAAAAATGGGTTTGCTGTGCATTAAAATGTAGTTTAGGATCTGCCCCTTCCTGTAGCTCTTCTCATTAATCATTCCCCATTCATTGCACAGGTGACAGATTTTACTTAGAATTAAGGCTTAAATCATTCAAAAAATCTGCACATACTAGGCATGGGACTGTCAGATTTTTTTTCAGTGCAGCTGCCAGGCTTCACCAAGAATTCCCTCAGCTAAAATCCTAGTAGTTATAGGCAAGTCCTCAGAGGAATTCCAGTGTATACATCTGTGCTTTGGCAAGGTATATTGGCAGCACAGGCCATTAAGCATGAAGATGACAGATGTGGGTGGAGCTTTCTAAGCTCCATGGAAACTGCAATGGATTAGGGACTGATGTCTCTCAGTTCATTAGGCCTGTGCCTCTCAAAATTTACCAGCTCCTAATGCTTTGTAGTTCCCATGGAGCTTAGAAAGCTCCACCCATATCTGTCATCTTGCTTAATGGCTGCTACTGCACAGATAAACTTGCCAAAGCACAGGTGTGTTATAAGGACTTGGAATTTTGGCTATAACTACCAGGATTCTTGCTGAGGGCATCCCTGATGAAGTCAGGTAGCTGTAGTGAAAAAAAGGGAAAGTCCCACGCATAGCACATATTTCAGTGTACATTAGATGCCTCTTGCACTTTCCAGTTCACATTAAGAAAGTGGAATAAGTTGCATGACATCAGCCACAAAGAGTTTGAATGCTTCAGCTTCCATTTTAAACTGTGTCTGATACATCATACAAACCAGGAAACACTGTAGCTAGCTGTTGAATCAAAGCAACCTCAATCCTTGGTTTATGAAGCTGATTTGTTTCAATCGCCTACAGCAGGGGTCGTCAACCCCAGTCCGCGGCCCATTGACGGTCCGTGGCTTGAGCCCGGCGGGGCTGCGAAGGCAGACCTCCCAACCCCCCCACGCACTCCCCTCCCCTCAGCTGCTTTGCGTGCGCGTGTCAGCGCCAGCATGAGCCTCCCTCACCCCTTCAAGCAAGCCCCTGAGTTCCCAAGGCTTGAGCCTCCCTCACCCCTTCAAGCAAGCCCAAGTCCCCAAGGCAGCTGTGGGGAGGGAAGTGTGTGTGGGGGGGAGGCAGGAGGTCTGCCTTTGTGGCCCAGCGGCAACGGGGCTGGGGGAGAGCCAGAAGGCAGGGCAAGAACCGGTTGCTCTCCTCCCGGCAGCGGCAGTGGGTGGGTGGAGAAAGGCCGGGAGGAAGAGGAAGGCCCAGGCGCTCTCCTCCCGGCAGTAGCGGCGGCAATGGGAGTGGGGGGTGGAGAAAAGCTGCGCTCTCCTCCCGGCAGTAGCGGCGGCGATCGGAGTGGGGGGTGGAAAAAAGCTGGGAGGAAGAGGAAGACCAGGGTGCACTCCTCCTGGCAGTAGCAGTGGCGACGGGGGTGGAGAACTGCCGGGAGGGAGATCTAGGGCCGGGTGTTTTTGCGGCTCTCATCCCGGCAGTAGCGGCGGCAACGGGGGTGGGGTGAGTGTCTGGAGAAAAGCCGGGAGGGAGATCTATGGCCGGGTGTGTTGGCGGCTCTCCTCCCGGCAGTAGCGGTGGTGACAGGGGTGGGGAAGTGGGCAAGAGCCGGGTAAAATTAAAAAGACTCCCAGGCTTCCGCCGCCGCCACGGGTGGGCAGGTGCTCCTGCGCATCTGTGAAGTGGTGGAACGTGCACGCGCCTATGGTGCGCACGCTCCCCAACCACCGTGCGCGTGCATTGGAGAGGGCAAGTGTGAAGGGCCGCCCCACCTCTGTCAGAGACTCCGGCGGGCCGGACTAAACAAAAGGTTGGGGAACTCTGGCCTACAGAATATTGTTTAGAAAGAGTTCAGAAGATATGCACAATCTAAGACAGAACCTTCAAGTCTTCTCATTGGGGCTTTACTTGCAGAGTAGAAAAACAGCATGAATCCAGGATCATTAACTGTGATTCAGCATTACATCTGAACACCTGTTAGTTCCTCTGCTTAAAAAAAAACTCTCTGAGAGGTAATCTGACTTGATGGAATTTCTAATCCACAGAGATTACTGGATGTTACTCTGTTATATTTATTTCTTCATAGCAATTTATTCTCAAATGCTGGGTGAAGAATCTACGATCCTAGGTCTAATTTCATATAGCATCAGCCAACTCTCTTGATGTTGTGGGCTTGCCCTCCATCTAAGTCCCTCTTAAAAATACTTTTACTTCTGAATCCCTCCACCCACCCTACAAAATCAAAAATAAAGAAATCACAAAGAAAGCCAATATACTATTTCTTTCCTCTGTCACTCATTCCATTTCATTAATATTTCATTCATTCAAAAAAATGGTTGTTGAAGAAAATCATTCTTGACCCATGTCAGTGTGAAACCATGCTAAGAGACATTTCTACAACAAACAAAAAAAAACTGGCTGAATTATATCACACATCAATAGAAAATGAATTATTTTAGAAAGATTAAATGCCACTGTTACAACAAAAAATTTCTGCAAGCTTGCTTGCCTTGTTTTGTAAGACTTGGTAATGGTTTTAATAGTAATAAATAACGTGCAACAGGAATGAACAATCACAGTACCAGATGCATTCTGCCTCCAGTGCTGCAGGAATAGGTATTCATAGATTCATTTGGAGGAAAGCCATTTTCGGGCATCCTGTTGCAACCTTTAAAGGCGAAGCCATTAGTAAAGTTCATAGAACTGCTGCTTGTGAAGCAAAGGTTATGCCCATTTGGATAATGTGTACTTTGTATTCGCCCTTTATATTGACCATTGAAATGTTGCTCATTCCCATCGTGATGGGTGCTGCTCATGTCAACATTATCAGGCTCACCACGAGAATTATATTGCTTGGTGTAGTTGAGAATTCTCTCCCCATTTTGGGGCTGCACAACAGTGGAAGGATTTTTTGGTTCTTCCTGGTTGTACATAAAGGTATCTTTGTGGGCTCTGGTCACCATACCAATCACTTCTTCCTTAGCAATGTCAGAGGATGATGGAGGAGGTGGTGGTGGAGGAGGAGGAGGAAGAAGGGAGAGGGAAGAGGAGCCATTGGTATTTTCTTGCTCTTGTTCCAATTTGTTCAGCTCTTCCTGAGGCAGTAGAAGCAGTGGTTCTTGTTTATCTTTTAATGCTTCACTGGGCGAGTGGTCATTGAATTGAGTATTCATCATAGTTTTCATGGCACTTTGCATTTCAATCAGCATCCTCTGCTTCTCCCGTTTAGGAATCCGGCCAAATCGAACAGCTATCAAGAAAGGGGGAAAGCAGCTTTAGTTATATGCTTTTATGCCAAATTCTAGCAGAAATCCCACTTTGAAGCTAGTTCTGTAAGTCCAGGGAGTTTCTCTCAAACAAGGGCTCTCACTACAAACAGCCAAAGTGCTTTTTAAAATGGAATGGAAATGCAAAAGTAATTTATGACAAAGCATGAAACTGCGGAAGTCATTTGCGAAAAAGATGGCACCCTCTTTTTTTTTTAATGACCCTTTTGCCTCAAACAACATTGTGTTTATGGACCCTAATATAAGTGAGATGGTTTCTATGAACGACTCTTTCCAAATGCAATAATGCTGAGCAGGGAACTCTTTCTATAACCAAAACTGGGAAAATGCTGGACAGCAATGAGGAACATCACACATATATGAAAGTAAGAAATGAACATCACTTTATTACACAGAAGGCACAACCACTTTAAATATGAGAAATTAAGGAATGTGCTAGGTCATGGAGACCTAAGATGAACAAGACCCAGCTCATGTAGAGGTCAGGGAATGTCAAAACACAGTAGGAGTGTGCTAGGCAGTAGAGCCTCACCTCTTCAGTTACCCAGGTGGTTCTCTCCTAACACCCCCTCAAGAATTCCCTCTTGCTCCTTAGAATTTAATATTCATTCCAGTTTTCCCCAACCAGTGCCTTGGGGACTGCAACTCCCAAAATCCTCAACCACTATAGTGATCAGCCAAGCTGGCTAGGGATGATACAGGCTGCATCTGACTCATTTGAAGGGTACCAGGTGGGGTAAAGCTAGCCAGTTCTGGCCTTTAATCTGCTCCCTGAAACAATGGTTATTATTCCTATCCACGAATGCTTTATCACAATACGAGATTTAACACCAGGCTCCACTTACCACAGGTTAGCTAATATTATCTCTATATTATGATAGAACTGAAAAAAAGGTAGGTTCCAGAAATGCACCTCATCAGTTTACAGCTGAAGTAACACTTCAAGTAGTTCAGAGAGTGCATCCCTGGCCACTACTTTACTCCAGTTACAAAGGCTTCCACTTACATTACATACTAAAACACACCAATTCATCTTTCTGAAGGTCACTACTCAATGGAGAAACATACCATCTCTTGACATCCCAACAGACAAACATTTTTTGAATCGGCACTGCTGGCACCTGTTTCTATTCATTCTCATTATAGAACAATTGTTATTCTTCAGGCACTTTTTGTATTGGATATTTTGCTGAATGCTTCTTCTGAAAAAACCCTGAGAAGAATAAGCAACAATGTCCATCAAATTATTTTTTAAAGATAGTTTTCAAGTACATCCTATCATTAAAAACTTGCATTTTTAACCATGAACCTGTTTATCCCATTTTTCCTCCAATAATTGAAGGCAACATATAAGGGTCTTCCATTCCCTATTTACCCTAACAACACCCCTGTGAGATGGATTAAGTTGAAAGATACTGACTGGACCAACATTAGCCAATGAGCTTGACAGCTGTGTATCAATTTGAATCTAGATATTTCCCTTTCTAATCCAGCATTCTATCCCCCATGCCACACTGGCTTTTCTGAATCAAGTTTCATGAGCTTTGACCGAAGCAAACAAGAATGTGCCAAAAGCACCACTCCAACTCTCGATTGTGTTTACCCTATGTTTTTAGTTCAGCCACCCAAGAGGAAGGGACATTTCACAATAGCAGGACTCACTTAAGAGAGACTAGACAGGTTTTTAAGGTTAGAGTTTTAGAGACCAAACCAATATTGAGTTTCTTCAAGATGCAACTGCCCCAGCTACTATTTGTAAATTTAATTATACCTGTTAAGTGTCCCAAATAATAAATAATACCTGGAATCCTATTAAGTATTTATACCAATATAACTGAACTGGCATAAATCTCAGTGGTGAACTGCCACAAGACAAGAAGCTGGCACAGGCATTTGCTGTTGTTTACCAAGTCATGTGAGTTCACATATAACACCAAATGCCTATACTGACTTTTTGAATCACAATTCCTTGATGAAAATCATGCTGGCAAGTGTCACTAACAGGATTTGGGCAAATATCACATATACTTTACCTTGCAGCCTTCACAGGCGTGGACTCCATAGTGGAATCCTGAAGCAACATCTCCACAAACTTTACACAGCAGGACCATGCCATTAAATTCTATAAACAGAAAAGGCAGCATAAAAACCCAATAGAAACATGACAAGTATATTTAACAATATATTTATATATTTTGAGGGTACAGTATATTTTTAAAAGGATCCACTGCAGAAAAAAAAACACACAACAAATCCAGAATTCTGCTAAGGTAGCAAGTTTTTTCTCTCTTTACCCAACACAAAAATGTCACTTTATATACAATATAATAATACAAAGATGATTTCATAATGACATCAATGTCAATAAAATATGCCTTATCATTATACATTCCCAAAACAATTGCTCTCCATATGTGCGTAATTACAACTCCCATTACCTTAACCAACACTGGCTACGTGTGGTAATGGCAGCTGTAGTCAAATATATCTGCAGATTTTTGGCTGGGGAAGACTGTAAAACAAGCTACCCTATGAAATCTTTGAAGAATGACAATGTTGCCATCATACAAATTGCCAAAAGTCACAACAGCAAGCAAGCATGGACGAAATTATTTTTTAAAGCAGCTATTTCTACACTGCACTCCATATTTGCACTTCATTACCACTAAAGCAATTAGTAAACAATTTTGCTCAGTGCACCAATGCAAAATAGCTTAGAACAGCACAATAACAGACACATCTGTCCTGTTTCATAAACCACAGCAATGTTAATATTGCAGTGACACAGCGTGGGAAGACACAGTAACCATACAGATACAAATGTGTAGGATTAAAATACTGATGAATTGTCATTAAAAAAAACCCTTGGTGACACTTGGAAAGTCATGTTGGAAGAACGTTCCAAATAACAAAAGATTAAGGAACCAACAATTATGAAGATTACCAACAACCCAGCTGCTAACAAAAAACAAGGAAAACAATTTCTAGTTTAAAAAGGTGCTAGAAATCAGATTAGTATTAATATCCAGGCACAATTTTAGCTAGCCAAAATGGTGAAATCTGGCTCAACTAACACTAAGGTAGCCAAATCTGAGCTAAATCCAAACCTCCCGCACCCTATGGATTTGTGAGTCAGGGCTGAGAAAGGTGTGGACCTGGCATAATGTAGCTCCCCCTCTCCCAGCTTCTCCACTCTTTTTTCCCCCCCTTTCCCCGGCTAGTTGAACTTCACCAGCACAATGGTTGTACCAGCAGATGGTTGTGCTATCACAGAAGTTGTGCTGGCACAACAAGCTTCTGCCCATTCCAAACCCACTATAACGGGCCGATTTCTGAGCTTGGACTGCACTGCAAGTTAGGGGGGAAAAACAGATGGGGCATATAGATGAGGGAGAAAAGATAAGGGACATCCAGGGTAAACTGGATGGTAAGCAGGCAGCATATAAGTTAAATAAAATAAAATAAATAAACTATTTACTAGAAATTATTAAACTAATAATGCTCACGTTTGATGCTTCTCATATCCTTTTACATCTGACATCAGCATATTGAAGTGTAATGTATACTTTACAATTATATTTTATAACTGAAGTGCAAAATACATATTAACTTTATGGTTGTCCTTGAGTTTGTTTTAAGTTCATATTGTGAGCAATTCACTGTTTATATAGTGCAAAGACACATTTTTCCCGTTGGTGACAGAATACATGTGTTACATACATATTAAGATTCAGACCATGGTATTACCAGTTAAAATGGTCAAGGGCAGATGAGGCTGGAAAATCTTTGTCTGAGTCCCTAAAGAAGCACTTAAAATAAGATTTAAAAGTAAGAAACAAATAATCTGAGACCTAGTTTAAAATAACTTTCTGGTGTGAGACAGTTTCCTGTGCTCCCAGCCTAAAAATCTTATTAGCAGGAAAGCTGGGGCCATTGAGTCTGACACTATGGGAAATATCAAAATAATTTATTCTGCAGCATTCTTAATAAAGATGTATATTTATTAGTTTTATTTTTACTCTGAAATGATACCATTATTTTTATAATTTAACAAGAGTTTATTAACAGCAATTTTAGCCTTAAGATCTTGAATCTGTAAAATGTTGAGGTTTCTCAATTTGTATGAATTCTCGAGTTCACACTGAAACATTTTACAGTATGATCAAACTTTAGAGACTCTCAGTATTTTCCTTGGAATTTATTGTGAGGAATAATTTTGAGTTTTACAAGTAACCTTTACACAATGTACAGAATCCTGGTGATTTACACATGTGGAAACTGAACTGTGGCAAATAGGCACTGACTAATGAGGTGCCGGTTATATTACAAGGCATACGCCTCGTAATGCAACTAGCTCCTCATTACTTACTGCCAATTCCCTACAGCGAGTTATGCCATTTAACTTACACACCTGTAAGTCAACAACAGAATCCTGGACAACTAGAAATATCTATAGCCTCAAATGGGAATGACTGCTTTATTGGTTGAATAATCTTAGGGAGTTCTTTCATGACCAGGTCTTGACTTCAAACTTACTTGTGGGCCCCAGGACAACATGGCCTGTTGGCACCACTTTGCACTGTGAGGCAGGAGCTCCAGTTTGCCAGAAGTTGAATACCAGAGCTACAGTCTATCTAGAAGGAAGGAAGTCAGAGGTTAAGTGCCGAAGGTTAAGGGCTACAGGTTTAAGGCAGAGGATGCTATCAGGCCTCAAATATCATATATAGTCCAGACACACTAAGGGGTCAAATCAGACATTTACATTTACCAGTCATGGTATGAAGATGGTGAATTTACTACATAGGCTTCCTCCTCCCAACATCTCTCCTATGGTTTTACTACAAACATTGCATGCCATTATGCCTGACTAAATGTGGAAAGTAGTTTTAGAAGACGTAGCTGTGTCAGTCTATGCAAGTGTATCAGGCAAAATCCAAAGAAACAAAATGAAACAATACAAAAAAATGGATAAAAACATGTGGCACCTTAAAGACTGACCATTAGATTTTAATGTAAGCTCTCATGGACTGTAAAACAAGCATAGGCCTAATTACTGCATGTAACCAATAAACATTTAGAATATGAAACTGATATTTCATGTACATTTCATTCTGTCTCTTAATGTCTGATGAAGTGGACATGCCCAAGAAAACTTACATTAAAATATAATGGTTAGTCTTTAAGGCGCCACAGTTTTTCTCCTTTTTTATATATTGTTCTGTTTTGTTTTGTTTCTTTGGAGTTTGCCTGATATAATTGTGGACAATACTAATAAGAGAGAATCCAAACCATAATAAAAGAATAAAAAAGAAAATTCTCTAATAGACTATTAAATTTCCAAACCCTCATTTTGGCCTCAAACCACGCCAGTCCAAACATAATGTAAAACCACAACAGAGGATAAAGAGTCTACATGTGAGAGAAAAGGTGAGGAAGAGTCTTACACACATTCCTAGAATCCAGACCACAGAATGGAAGACTGGAAAGTGTGATGTCTGAGCTGACCCTAAGTAAAAGTGCAACTACTGAAAAAAAAAAAAAGCTTACTTACTAGTAAGTCCACTGTGACCTTTGGTCAATCCAGTTACACTTGAGTGGTTTGCTTTAACACAATCATCTGACTGGCCACTCTTCAGCACTCCATCAGAGTTTTCTTGGCTCTTACTGTTACAGCTGCCCTCTGAAGAGGAACTATTTGGTGATGGTGGAACAGGTGATGAGGAGGACTGGAAGCTGTTGTCTGAGCCATCACTGTGGCATGAAGCAGGGCTTGATGCTGAACTTGAAGAGCTGATGTAAGCAATCACACCACCTGTAGAAAGAAGACAGGAATAGGTATATCTTCCAAACTTATAAGCTCCTATATGAGAAGTCAGGTTGTCACTGTCTCATTCGCTTACTCATATTCCACATATCCTTCAATATACACTTCATTCAATTACCTAAGACTGGATGTGATTGGAAAGATCAAACTGTAATTTGTTAAATAATTTCTGATAGTTTCCAAAATATCAGTGCAGAAGGACAGATGTAACAGAATTTCATTTTGTATCACACCTATGAGATGATAAGCTACTACAAATACTAATAAACCTCTTCTATGGATGATAAGCAATACATAAGTATAATACACAAACAGTGAATAACTTCTAGCAACACTATTTGAGATTCTATTGATTTCACCTATACAGTACTCTGTTCCTCCTTTTAAAGGACATCAGAGTGGCTTATAGAAGCTTTCCAACCAATCTCTCAGTCTGATAGCTTATACAGTAATCATGACCAGATAATTCTTAAATCTGCTCAGATCTATTGTTCAACAACCAGGGATGGCAAAAACAACCTCTAGGCACTAAAATGACATTGGGTGAAGAAACCAGTGGAAGGAGGGGAAAAACATTTCTGATATGTTATGAAAGAGGAACTGAATGTATAGAAAGAGATCAAGGGACATACAGTGATTTGGGGTAATGGGATGCTCATAATGGATAAAACAGATACAGGAAAGAATTGAGACTTTGGCCTGTAACACTTTACAACCAGTTTGTTTTTTAATATTTAAAATCTTTCTACAGTTCAGCACTGCTTTTGGAAAACACCATGTGTACAACTAGACTAGAGACCTATGCCATTTTTGTATTAGTTTAATATTAAAGGCTTCACTCAAATAATTCCTGAAGTTATAAAGCTCTCTTTCTGCAAGATCCTTGGCTCCCCTCCATAGAAGTACAGCTCCCAGAGATCTTGGGGAAGACAAAATAACATCTTTCTACAGTTCAGCACTGCTTTTGGAAAACACCATGTGTACAACTAGACTAGAGACCTATGCCATTTTTGTATTAGTTTAATATTAAAGGCTTCACTCAAATAATTCCTGAAGTTATAAAGCTCTCTTTCTGCAAGATCCTTGGCTCCCCTCCATAGAAGTACAGCTCCCAGAGATCTTGGGGAAGACAAAATAACTATTAAACCTACATTTACAAAATCAATGTATCCTAAGGGCATTTTTTACAAGCACAGGAATCACTCAGGCTACTGTTCTCACAGAACCTATTGCTGAGTGGTCCTATGGCTATCAATAGGACGAATTCAGTGCAAGTGGTTTGATAATTGTGGCCTTCAATATCCACACTTCATAGGTTTTTAGCAGGATGCATATTCCTAAGCAACTTATATGCTTTAGAATTTTTTTTAACCTTATAATACTATCTTTCAAAATAGACTGGATGTTTTATATAGCTCCAACAGTTGTATTCACATGCAGAAAGGAGGACATTTGTGAACTGAGCCCTTTTCTGGATCACAAGACTCTTCAGGAAACACAACTACTAGAACAAATTAAAAATAATAAAAACTTGTCCACTGAAAACTTGCATCCTGCCTCAAAAGCCACCATGTTTCGTAACTTACATATATCACTGTTCATTAAAATAGTGGCCAGTATTCTAGTGTACAGCTCTGCTTGCGTAAAAAAAGTTAACTCACTATGAAATTAACAAGGCTCGCATCAGAGTAGATGCAGAACTCTGAAATAAGCCTTGTGAACTTTACAGTTTACTTCTGCATAAGTGCATACACGATTCTAGACTAAATTTCCCACTGCTGCTGTGAGTGATTTTGCATGAATTCTCATAAAGAGAAAACTCAGATTCAATGATCTACAGATCCACAGATTCATATCCTTGGATATTTTGCAACCCTGTATAAATCCTTAGACCTTTTCAGCCATTTTAAAAATTCCACATTAGTTACACGTGTGTCATTGGTGTACTGCTTGCATATCTCCATTTTCAATAAAAACTCCAATGGATAGCTATGATGCTTGGTCATGTTTAAATGTACTGCTTATATGGTTTGGTAAGTATGTGATGGGAGGGGCGAGTGAGTGAACACTTTAAGAAAGATTTCGATTGGCTGGGAAAGAAACTGGACAAGGAATAGGAGTGCGTGTGTGTCAAAGAACATAGCCTTGAGTCTGATATAGGAGCAGTCTGGTATAGAGATCAGGAAGAAGTTGGTTTGGGAGTCTGAGGTTTGTGGCCCCTCAAAAACTGACACATTTTATCTGGTATATGCTTTTGTGGACTGTAGTTTCACTTCTTCAGATGTAGAAGTACAATGCTAGTACTGTATTTGGTTTATACCAAATAAAACCTGCCATTGAAAGCTGATTTAATGCATGAAAGCCATGACAACAGTAATTAATTAATTAATTAATTCTAATATCATATTTCTTACAAGACAGAAGAATTTAAGTATTTCAGGATGGGGGGGGGCAACCAAAAGGGAGCACTGTAGTTTTGAATCTGTGGAACAACTTCTTCCAAAAAGATACCTGCCTATGTGCTAGAATACAATCTCCATAAACACAGTCAGCATGTTAGATGCACTTGCTAGGAATAGTAAGAACTGCAGTCCAACACATTAAGCGGGTACTTGGTTGGAGAAGGAAGGGGTGGAGGTTCAGATGAGAACGTTTCTCTTCTTATTCACTCACTTTTTCACACACATAAACATATGCAATAATACAATGAAGAAATCCTTCCAGGGAATTTACTTGGCAGTAAAAAAAAGGTCAAGGACATAGGAGAACAGTACTCCTTTATATCTGATTAGTTAACATATGCAATCTGCTGTAATAATAACCAGTAACTGCTAAGTTTAGAAAAATTCATGCAGATGAGCACAGGAGCTAACCATGAGAAGTAAATGAGATCTCCATATTCTCAGACAATAGATCCATGAATACTAAGTGGTGCATAAGAAACAGACAAAACTGCTATTTTGCCACTCCACCAGTAAACTTACTTAGAACATATGGCTGACTACTACTAGAAACAAGATTGTACAGAAGAAAGTAAAAAGCTTTGATTCAGCAAAGCTCTTCTGATGTTCTTATGCTTCACATCACACCCCCAGACGCTTCAATTTTTGTTACATATTAAATGACAAAAAACACATTTTGAAGAAATAAAATTGTTCTCAACAGCTGCCATTATCAAGGGCTCTTTTAAAATATTCTCAGGCTTTCTAATATAACCTCATTTTGCTTTACAAAGCCGCACGTCCTGTTATGTAATCAGCTTCTGCTGTATTCTATTAAATTTTCTGGTTCAGACAAATTTGCTTTACAGATTTGGGGAGGTTGAGGCTAGGGATTTCCACCCCACTTCCTTTCTTCAGTCACTAGACTGGTAGAGAAAGAACCACTCCTTCAATCCTTAACTCTTTCATAAAATGATTATAACTCTCAAGTCTCAGGTGAACTTGTTATGTAACTCTCCCTGAAACTTGTACATGTTGTACCACCTGACTTTTATCTACTCTGTAACCTCACTCACCACTGAAGATTATTCTGCAACCTTTCTCCAACCTGCTACATTTCCAGTGTCACAGGTTCTGGAACATGAGCAACGAAGACAATTGATTCAAGTCACATGGACATCCCACACACAAACACACACAGGAACTGTGTACTAAAACCACCCAGAAAACCAGCTGATTTCAATCTATAGATCTACTGTACTACCGCGTTTCCCTGAAAATAAGATTGGGTCTCATATTAATTTTTGCTCCAAAAATGCATTAGGGCTTATTTTCAAGGGATGTTTTATTTTTTTCATGTACTATACTGTATCTATATTTATTCAAATTACAGTCATGTCATCTTCTTCTGGTTACTGCACAATTGTGAAGGACGGGCTTTCATTTAACTAGGGCTTATTTTGGGGGTAGGGCTTATATCAAAAGCATCCTGAAAAATCATACTAGGGCTTATTTTCAGGTTTGGTCTTATTTTCGGGGAAACGGTACCAGAAAGGACAATGCACTTTCATACATAAGAAAGTCCTACCAAGACTCTGAAGCAGAATCAGATTACTGTATAATACTATAACATCTCAGGTGGCTTAAGTGGGAGAAATTCCTCTAGCCCAGCCCAGTGGGAATTGTTTCATAGTGAATTAATACAGCACCACGCTCTGCACAGTGCCTGTATGGTCTACTCAGAGGTAAATCCAATTGATGTCATCAATTTACTCCCAAGTAAGTAGGTATGGGGTTATAACTTAAATCATCCATTCATAGTTTCTGTCATATATCCAGGCAACTTTCTCATATACTGTACGTCCTTTTATGCTAGCTTCTATTTTCAAACGACTCTCTTGCATTATTTACCATCTAATATGACCCTTCACTCCCGCCTCCATTTCATCAAGACTTTTACTACCGGACCAAAAAGAAATTAAATTCTGCAGCCCTACATACATCTACCCAGAAGTAAGTTTCACTGAACTCTGCGCAGTTTTCCCCTAGGTAATAGGATCATATCCTCATTCACCTGGGAAAAAATTAACATCACTGAACTCACTAGAATTTACTTTTCTATAAAAAGAGTTTTGTAACCGTTCCGAGAATAAATCCGGCATGAGCTTCAACCCACGAAAGCTGATGCCAAACAAATCTTGTTAAATCTTTTAAGCAGTTTCGCTACAACGCGCTCAAATGGGCACAGCCAAGGCTGGAGACCCAGGCTGCATTTTTAGCTTCCACACACTGTCTACGGAGACTACCTCTCTCCAAACTCAACGGGACTTAACGCCGCCGTAAGCCTACATTCGGAAGATTCCGCTCTTAACGCTGGCCAGAGCCGCCAGGTCACGCGGGGACACAACGTTCTGCCTCCGAACCTCGAAGGCACGCAGAGTTTTCTTCCAAGCACACACCCCCTTCCTGGTCCGCGAGGCCAGCCGCTGCCATTCGGAAAGACCAAAAAAAGCCATAAAGGACCGCCTTTCAACAAGGGACCAAGCGTTCGTTCCGGCGGGCGTGGCCCAATCCACCGGCGCTTCCACCTCCACGTGTCCCCCCCTCTCGCCTCCCGCGAGGCACGGAGGTCACCAAAACAACAGCCTCCTGCCGGTTTCACGTGTCGCTACACGCGGTCTCCCAGCGAGGCCACCCCGGCCCTATTATGCAATGGCAACGTCACAGACACGCACAACCAATGAGGACGCACGCAGCGCCGAACATAAACAAAAGGCGCACATGGCACAGCCGGCGAGTCCATGTGAGTGAGACGCTGACCAGGAACCCGCCGTAAGAGGAAAGAGCGGCAAGAAGCGGGGAAGGGGGCTTGAGCCGCGGGGGCGACCCTCACCTTCCCGCCGAAGCGGGGTAATCGTGGTCTATGGGCTGCAGGGGCTCCGTCTCCAGAAGGGGATTCTGTGGTCTCACGCCACGGGGCTCCGTCCCTTCTGTGCCCTGGCTCGACTGACAGCTCTTGCCACTTCCTGGAAGCCCAGTCCCGAAGCCTCCTAGTCTCTTCTCTTCCCCGCTACATACAAGCACACACACCCTTTGCCGCCATACAAGCCCACCGCAGTCGCCAACTCCTGCCTTTCCACCAGCGCCGCCAACTCCCGAGCCGCCTTGCTCTCCTCAAAACCTGGCATGGAGAGAGCCAAGACGTCCCGTTTCGCCCCTTAGCAGCAGGTTCGTGTGCTATTTTCGTGGCAAGAGGAGCAGGAGCAGCAGATTGGGAGGTTGGGGGAAAAACTATAGGGTGGGCGCTCCGTTATGTCATCTGGGGTCAAGACGCTCCAGGACCAAGCGAGGGAAGTTGGGGGGGGGGCTTCTCGAAATAAAGCGACTTCTTCCTTCCCCAATTTCCTCCCGCTGAGGTAAGCCTCTTGCCCGAGAGGCGGCCCCCCTCCCTCCCTCCCTCCCTCCTGCCTTCCGGCCCTTTTCCGTGGATTTGAAAGCCTTCACTTACCTGCGCTGAGTTCCATGGCTTCCGCCCTTCCCTTCCCCAAAAGGCTGTGATTCAGTCCAAAGAGGGACCGGGGGGGTTGCGAAGCGGAGGGGGAACGGCTTTGAGGGAGGAAGGAAGAGAGAGAGAGTCTGCGGCTGGCCCCCGTGGAAAGACTTCCCGGGCGACCTCAATAAACTGCTCCCGGCGGCTCTCCTTGTCAGGCTTCCAAGGGCTGCTGGGGCGCCTCCTCCTGGGTCTCTCCCCCCCCCCCACAACCCTTCCCGCGCCTCCTGCCTCCGTGTGTGTGTGTGTGTGTGGAAAGAGAGACTGCGGCAGCGAAGCTCAAGGGAGGGACGCCTGCCTACCGGCCGGCCGGCCGCCTGCTGGCTTGCCTGCCTGCCCTGTGCGTGGATGTGCCGCGTGTGTGCGAGGCGGGAGGAGGCGAAGCAGCACCAGCAGCAGCAGCACGGTCGCCGCGCCTTCCTAGGGAAGTTTCTTGCTGAGTTGGCGCCCGTCGAGGCTCCTGCGGCGTCGGCTGGTGCTGCTTGCTGCTCCTTCCCCCTCCTCCTCCTGCTGCCCACACACTGAGGAGGCGGGCGAGTCCGCGGGAGTTGCGGCGCTGATC